ATGATTGGTTTGCTTTATGTGCCCGTAACAGATAAAACTAACCCGAAGCTTCAAACCAAGTTTTCGGATTTAGTTTTTTGAGAAATTATAGTTTAATCGTGTTCTAATAATTTTCCAGATAACAGTGGTTATATGACGTCAACGATAACCTAATGCATTGTGTATGGTACAATAAACATACATACATTTATACATACATATGCACTCACGTCTGTCACTTAAAAAGGTAAGCACAGAATACGAACTTTTGTTTGGCACGATCCTAACAATTATATCTACGCATACATACGGTAAAGAATACTTCTAATTTGACCCATCTGTGTAGTCACTCGCTTCTGCAGCATTAATTTCCTTTGTCACTCTTTCCTTACTCAATCTTTCTACATATCCAAACCACCGAAAACTTCTTCCTTCCTTTTTTAATCTTGATCACAACATCTTTTTGCAAACCACATTTTTTTATCGAAAAATTTCTCCCAATAATATTGGTATAATTGAGTAAATTTCAAATATAATTTTTAACCCTCGACAAATACTGGTGGCTGTTATAAGTTTGTGGTGTTTATAAGTGTGTGCATAGCTCCTGAACGAATGAACCGAATTTAATTATGTTTTTTTTGTTTGAAAGGTATCTTAAGGTACCTTTCGTTTGAGAGTATTCTTAGCTATGTTTCAAGAAAATCTGTTCAACCGTTTGAAGATCATCGGCTCTTTTTGTTTCGGGGTTTTTTTTAAATTTTTAATTAAAGTAATATATTATGTGAGATCACGATTACTGGGCTAATTTTCTTTAATTAAAAATCTGCAGTGTGTTTCAACGCCATACTTCTAAAATTAGGCAATGCAGTTAAACTTTTGAGTTTAACATTTTATTATATTTTATAATAATAAACGGTTAGAGTTATAATAGTAAAAATAGTGTTATTTGTTTTGTCTGGTTAGGCTTTTTGAAGTATCGACCCAAATCATGTCATTCAAGTTTATTGTTAGTGAAGTACAAGGGGCATTTGCTATATTTTATATCAAGAGGCGTGAGAGGCGTAAGAGAACTCTTTGGTGTCGCAAACAGGCGCGATTTTTTCAGAAAAGTTGTTGGTCAGTACATTCATTCTTCCTATTTCACGTTTTATAAACCAATAAGTATATTTTTTATGAATAAGAATGTACGTTTAGTGTAAATGTAGTAACAATGGCTATAAAATGTCATTTGCCACGCCAGTACCTATATAATAGGCTTCAATTTACCTAAAATTGCCATTCTGCAGAACTGGCCATTTCAAATCAAAATTATTTTTTATTGGATTCTAATTTCAAATTAATTTAGTTTATAAACATGGAATTCTTTTTTCCAAATTAGTCATTTGTTTATTGATTAGTGTTATGTTTTCATCGCATTATAATCATATCACGAAGTACATCAAACGTCAGCCGTCACGTAACTTGCACTGCTCAACGGGCACATAAACGAAGGAATTTTGAACCGCATTGTTACCTGCGACGAAAAATGGATTCTGTTTGACGTTCGCAAGCGCTCAGCAAGTTGGTTGGATCCTGATTCAGCTCCTAAACAACACCCGAAGAAAAACTTACTCTTAGAAAAGATAGTCACTATTTGGTGGTCTAGCGCCGGTGTGGATTCATCACTGGCTCTTACCAAACGGGATGAGCATTACTGCAGATCGCTCGCACGTCTCCAACCAGCTTAGGTCAATCACTCGTCCACGCTGCTCCTGCACGACAACGCACGGCCTCATACTGCATAACAGATGGTCTCTAAGTTACAAAAGCTGGGATTGGAAGCTCTCCATTTTCCGCCATACTCACCAGACCTTGCACCTACAGATTTCTATTATTTCCAGAACTTGGATAACTATTTCGCGAGATCAATACCCGAGAGGCAGTACAAAATGCCTTTGAAGAATTTGTTGCCTCCCGTTCAGCTAATTTCTTCAAGCAAGGCATCTGCCACTGCATTGACAAAGATGAGTCGATTGCATGGCAAAATTACGTTAACTTATATAATAAAAAACGTTAATTTCATAGGTAAAGACCTTATACTTAATGAAAGTTACTCTTTTGTTTAATTTACTACTGGTTCGGAAAAAGCCTCCGTTCTGGGAAGAAACAGCAAGAAATCTAGCGGGAATTTATTTTGAAATATAAACCGCTTACAATCTTATAATATGTTATACAATAAACAACACAAACAAATAAGAAATAGCTTGGTAGCGATGTACGTTGAACTATAATATTAAACACTGCATTAATGTTCATTTGCAAAAATTATCTGAAATTATTTATTTCATAAAAGACGGCAATTTCATAGGTAAGGGCCTAATATAATAATATTTTTTTAATTAAATTATTAAGTTTGATAACTAAAAGTAATGTTATATAGGGTGTTTTAAAATATGTAGGATAATGTTATCATGCTTTACTATGTAGGAAAAACGAAAACATTTAATCAATTCATTTAAAAAATTTATCATATAAGAATTAATAGTTCTATTAATAGTACTATTATACGAGATGAGGAAAAGTAAGTTTGTATAGGTGAGATAATTAACAGTTACAATGAAACTAACAACTACTGACTTAGTAGTCAGAACACGTGCCTACTGAGTTTCAAGTTAATCTGTACGTATACTCAGCAGAGTCAGAATTTGTGCAAAATACAAATTATTGCTTTTTGGGTTAGAGTATGTTGTGATTATCTTGTCTTGTCTGGACTGTGACTCGAAGTCTTAATCTTTAATCTTATTTTGTAACACTGGATTATTTGTGTGGCACTACATTTCACTTAGTTAATAATAATCGTTTGTAAGTAATATAAATTAATAGTGAGATATTATGTGACGTGTGGATTCAGATAATCCATCACTCTATCGTGAGTAACGTATAAGGAATCAGAGAAATAGCTGAAAGATGTTGTGATCTTCTACTTAGATAAATTAAATGAAAAATATCTAGACCGACAAGGAAAACAGTGTCAAAAGTTGTCAGTAATGCCAAGAGTGAGAACTACGGCAAATTCCTTTCTACTATGGGAGAGGCCTATGTGACGAATCGATATCATCAATATGGTTGGAATTGGTACTTAAACAAAATAAAAAGATAAAAAGATTTCGTGCAGACGCGTTGTTACCCCTGACGACTAAGGTGGAATGCCTCGTTTCCGGTAAAAAGGTTCCCGGTCCTCTACAGTCACCATACGAAACACAACGGCATAAAGCTGCTTTTGACGCTGGTATTCGGTGAGAGCATTGTCCTTCCCTGGTAGAGCTGATCCAATCATAATATATCTAGAGCGTGACTCTACTACATATACGTTGTTTTTTTATAATACAGGACATCCCACCTCAGTTTAGTATAAAATTTGCATTGTCACCCTGCAGTAAGATGTAATGCATCATTATCATACATAACACGAGCATCAAGTGCTATTTGATGCCTGTCAACTACCATGTTGTTATAGTGGTTGTAAGCGCGTCTGCAGGTCATGTGTTCCTGGATTCGAATTACGAGTCGGGTTTAAATCTTTCTTCTTTAGGTTTGTCTTTCAATAAATTCTCAGTATTAGCCGGGAGCCAAAAATTATGCAATGTTACATCCCGGTGCCGCGAAAAACATGTACAGCCATTGGTCCTGCGCCTGATGTCTCTTCGGCCGTGTAGGACTGCCGTTCCATCGGAATATGAGAGTGAGGGTTTAGAAAGGCACCCGTGCTTGCGTGCACCTGTGCGTGCACTATAATCCTGTCAGCGCAGATGATTGATTAGGCCTGAATTTCTCCTATGAGCTGGCGCCGAATCTTGTTGGAATACCCAGTGCCTGTTATTGAACATGGTATGAGAAATAGTTTCCACAAGGTTCGTCAGGACTGTATTTTGATACACAACTGCATTCGTTTTTACACCTTTCTCACAAAAATGTACCTCTGTTAAGCCCCAATAAGAAACTCCCAACCATACCATGAGTGAGAATGGAAAATGACCTCACTGGACACGCGGAATACGGTTGCTCGCTTCTTCACTACTGTGTGCGTACACCTTATCATTTTGTTTGTTGTAGCTCTCTTCTACGGTAAAATTTTTTTCATCCGACAAAAGAATTTCCCGATATTTTTTTCCCGCGTACCGCTTCAACAAAGCGCGGCATCTCTTCAGTCTCAGGTCCATTACACGAGCATTCAAACGATGTCCTGTTTTTCTTCGATATGCCCGAAGCCCTAAGTCTTCATTTAACACCCTTTTCACCGTGGTTCTGCTTAACCCCATCTGAAGGGCCAACAGTTTCTGCTTACGTTTGGGATTTCTTTGAATTCACGCCTTCACAGCTTTTATCACTGTTGGAGTCCTAACAGACCGAGGGCGACCACTTCTTGACCTGTCATCTACACTAGAGTCTTCATTGTATCGTTTGATGGTACGATAAACGAATCTTTTGGTTATATTCAAATTTTTCAGTACGTCAAAAAATTTGAATTGGCGCGTAACCGCAACGATGCAACGCAATAACTGCAACACGGTCTTCTTTAAGCGTCCACTCCATATTTAAAAATGAGTAAAATTCTAAAAAGTATACAGTTTTATTTCATGAACGATTCGAAATTCGAATTCAATAAACTTTTTTGTGGCCAGCATTCTAAAAGAAAAGTTTTTACTGTGTGACAATACTTATGACCTGACTAGGTACATTGTGTTCTGTATAGCCGAACACTACGATGCTGACGACAGCAGCGCGTAGTTTGCTACGTATGCGTACGCGACCGACCGTACGCAACCGACCGAAAGTCGATCTGGACTTTCGGTCATTTCGGAAATTTTGTGAGATCGTGATCCTATTCATAATACAGCTGCAAGGTGGATCTACCACATAATAAATAATAAATATATTATTATTGTATTCATCTTACTCTTATAATATTATGATCTCGGATATTTGACAAGAGTACGTCATTCATATATTAAATGTATTTATAATTGTAATTTAAATAATACCTTAGCTGTGCCGTTAACATGAGTGTAGACCGACGTAGCAACAACTTGAAAAGAGTATACGCCACTGCTGGCCGGAGCTGAGAGGTGCAATTCTCCATTGTTGTTGATTGACAGGCGATCTTGGAGATGATCTAAAATATTAATTTTTTTTACAAATAAAAATAATAAAATTTTTAAAAATTGGAAATTGCAGTGGCCGCCATATTTGACAGACGGATTTATATTTATTTACACTTAATTGTCACCTTCATTAAAGTGTGATTAAAGGGTTACAAAAGGCGGACTTAATGCCTTTTGGCATTCCTTCCTAATTTAACCATTACAGCCTATGAAAGTCCACTCACAACAAACAACATAGGCCTCCCCCATAAATTACCGCATAGGGCAAGCGCACTGCACCGTCGTTTTTAGGAAGACGACAAAAAACTAGTCGTTATTAGACAGACCCAGAAAAAAAAACATAAGAAATAAAATTAGTATTTTATTTCTTCTTTTTATCCATAAATAGCGGTACTAAATATTATTAGGGGAACTAGTGGCAGAACTGATATATTTATATTAGTAATTCTAAGTGTGATCTTGAATAATTCTAAAATGGTAATCGCATGCGCGCATTTTTATATTTGTGCAGTTTTTAATATAATTGTGGAAGTTTTGTTTTTGTTTGTTTATTAAAGTTGTGTTGTGTGTGTCAATAGTTGATACCAAAATAGGTGTTTCTTTCTTTCTTTACTTTTTTCTTTAAAATATTTTGATCCAATTTCAGACCACAAGACTGCCTCTTTGGTCTACGACTACTAGGCTAAAGAGGCAGTCTTCATATGTCAGTCTTCATATGAGCTAATGAAATTCATAGGAGTTCATGGGTAGCTGATATCTGTCTCATTCGTACCAATACCGTATGTGATTAGAGCAAGCGAGACAAAGATCACATTTAACGTTCATTTCGCGTCTAATGCGTTGGAGTTCTCTGTTGTACAATATTTAAAGACAATTTTTTATTGTACATTTTATTACATGTTGGTTAACGTAAAGGCGATTAAACTAAGCCAGTATATTTTATTAAATATTTAAAAAAAAAACTACAGCATAAAAATATTGTTTTTATTTATTCTATTTAGTTACAAAATAGCAGTAATTTTTATTAACAACTTTAAACAACGTTAATTTTAAAATATTGCTTTGTATTAATATACCTTCTTATGCATATGAAAATTGTGATTTCGCGGGCCACCCTGGAGCATTCACCTTAAGGGGCTACTCCATGCGAACGACCTTGAGCATTCGGCCGGCGCGCCGACTCGCTACAATATATCGCGAAAGAAATATGTAAGACGCCACCTACTGTACGAACGTACTATTATTTTTGCAACATCAATAAACTATTTTATGGAAATACACACAGCGTACAACGATAAATGTATTTTAATTTTTTTATTCGGTATATTAGTTGCATTATATTAGAATTATGTATTCTCATATATTATCTAATTATGAAATTTTATAATTAATTATATATTAAAAATGAAGCATTGAAAATTGTGAGTTTAAAAGATACCTACTCACTATAGGTAAATAGATAGATAGCTCACCTTTTGTACAAATATTTGGTGCAATAAAGAATAAATAAATAAATAAATAGGATGTTTCGTAGATGTGTTTTTGATTATTGTTAATTTTTACGTGTCACGTATTGAAAAGTAACATACCTAATAATTTTTGAACTGAGCACCTTGTAACTTAGCCTGCTTATTACTTATGCTGGCTGACATCATCCTTACCCCAATGATTGATGAGGATGAAAAAAAAACGTTTGTTTTTATTTTTATTCAATTTTATTTCTACATACGTAATTATATTTATTTATATAAGGGTAACTTTAATAAAGGTAATACGAAAATCAACAAGATGTATAAGGGTTCAATGTAATTTCAATTATAAAAAAACGTTACCCCCACGCTAGGATTTTCTCCTGTGTCGTGGAGGCAGTTTACAAACATAAATTGCACAAGGAAAAACATCCAGAACCGGAACAATTATTTTTATTTATTTTTAACTGCCAGATACTGTGAACCCATAGGTGATAGGACTTCTATTCTGCCTAGGACTACGACTAAGTCAGTAAAGGTACCACCCTCTGAAATATTTCTATGTGTGCACTGCTGTGTTCAGGTCTGAAAGTTCTGGTACAGAGAGCTAGTATAATAAAGGGTGTGAGGTATTCTGTCTAAGTTCTTAGAGGTAACAAGGCATCTATAGCCTCCATTTTAACTTTAAAATATCCATGAACTGCAGTAGCCACCACAAACTAACCAGAAACACCTAGCCACTTACCATAATGTGAACTCGTTTGTCATTTATTTATTTATTTAAACTTTCATGCATAAAGTTGTACACATGGCGGACTTAATGCCATAGGGCATTCTCTTCCAGGTAACCATTAGGCTAAACAGAGATAGACAAACAAGAGGCGGTGCAGCAGTAATCAAAATAGAAACGCTAAAAATAATAATATTTTATATATACATATACATACACACACATACATATGTATAGGTACCTACCTAAATTTTATTATTTATTTGCAACTTACATTTAATTTTTAGAATTTCCGCAATAGCATATTTAAATCCCTGACCATCCTAACTACGACGATTTATTTAATATACCTCCCTTTCAATGGTCAAGTCACATATATCAAGAATTTTATTCGTTTAGTGTTTTTAAAGGCGGAAATCTATTAATTTAAGTCAACTGTAGCTTATTATTTACCTTAGTATAAATGTCAATGTTAACAGCGATTATGTTAATTGTTTTAAGACAAGCGCTTGCTCCTATTTCTCTCGCTTGGAATTCAGCTATTTTCTGACTTCTGCTAAGGATAGGGAGAGTTAAAAGTAATGTGAAACCTTTGGCCAGTTGTAGGTTACGTTAGAGGCTAACAAAAGTGAAAACCTATTCTTATTATATGTAAATAAACATAAAAAATTATGCTACACAATGAACTATAAGTCATATAATACAGAATATAATATAATACTGAAGTTTACGGTCTCGTATTATCGTCTGACATTTTTTTGTGATAGTCATGCAACCATATGTGTTTTGTATGCATTATGTATGATGGTATTGTTATGATGAATTACTTGCCATTAGGGATTTTAAAACGCAAGTGCTGGTAAGAATAACCATCATTTCATCTTATTTAATTGTTAAATAATCACAACCATAGAGATTTTAACGTTTTAATAGATGTCGCTGTTATCAACTGATAAAATTATAGAAATCAAAAGTAAAAATAAAAAGACAATTTTTATAAATTCATGAAATATTTACAAGCACAAACAATAATTAATCATAGTTTTCATAATGGCAAGTAGATTCATTTACATTTATTATTTTCATTGATAAGTACCTAATCAAACCAAAAAAACCACTCAACCAATTTTAATGAATTTGATAGTTGCGAGATATGATAGTTTTATCCCGATAACTCTCAATATTTTTATTGCGAATTAAAAAAAATTGAGGGACAAAGGGTCGTCAGAAAGGACAGAACACGACAGAAAATATAAATATTAATAATATTATTGTATTTAATAATATATATGTAATACGTACTTACATTTTTAAAGAACGAACAATGTAGATATTTTTATGTCATATTATCATAAATAGTACAAGACCCGAAAAGTGATTATAATATCTCTTGGGTCCGAATTAACATCGACCTTCACTCTTCGCTTATTGGATGTAAATTATTTTTTATCAAACAATATGTAAACAAATATCTCACGAGTAGGTTGCCTAGTGAAATACATAAAGATTATGACATAAAATTTTTAATATGATGATAATCTTCAACAATTTACAATGTACATACTTCATTAACCGTTAAAACTTTTTTATTAAAAAATTTCTTTAAAACGTTAACTTTTTTTGTAATATAAGTCTTGATAAAAATGGTTTCCATGCGGTAAAAAGAAGGGTGAATTTCGATGTTAGTTTGGATCTTAGACTATAAGTGTATTATAGATTTCTTTCGCTGTATACAATTTCGATGTAAGTTTGGATCTTCGACTATAAGTGTATTATAGTTTTCTTTCGCGGTATGGAATTTCGATGTTAGTTTGGATCTTGAACTATAAGTGCATTATAGTTTTCTTTCGCGCTATGTAATTTCGATGTTAGTTTGTATCTTATACTATAAGTTTATAATAGGTTTCTTTCGCAGTATGGAATTTCGATGTTAGTTTGAATCTTGGACTATAAGTGTATTATAGTTTTCTTTCGCGGTATGGACTTTCGATGTTAGTTTGTATATTGGGCTATACGTGTATTATAGTTTTCTTTCGCGGTATGGAATTTCAATGTTAGTTTGGATCTTGGACTATAAGTGTATTATAGTTTTCTTTCGCACTATGGAATTTCGAAGTCAGTTTGGATTTTGGGCTATACGTGTATTATAGTTTTCGTTCGCGGTATGGAATTTCGATGTTAGTTTGGATCTTGGACTATGTGTGTTATAGTTTTCTTTCGCGGTATGGAATTTCGATGTTAGTTTGGATCTTGGACTATAAGTGTATTATAGTTTTCTTTCGCGCTATGGAATTTCGAAGTCAGTTTGGATTTTGGGCTATACGTGTATTATAGTTTTCTTTCGCGGTATGGAATTTCGATGTTAGTTTGGATCTTGGACTATAAGTGTGTTATAGTTTTCTTTCGCGGTATGGAATTTTGATGTTAGTTTGGATCTTGGACTATAAGTGTGTTATAGTTTTCTTTCGCGGTATGGAATTTCGATGTTAGTTTGGATCTTGGACTATAAGTGTATTATAGTTTTCTTTCGCGCTATGGAATTTCGAAGTCAGTTTGGATTTAGGGCTATACGTGTATTATAGTTTTCGTTCGCGGTATGGAATTTCGATGTTAGTTTGGATCTTGGACTATGTGTGTTATAGTTTTCTTTCGCGGTATGGAATTTCGATGTTAGTTTGGATCTTGGACTATAAGTGTATTATAGTTTTCTTTCGCGCTATGGAATTTCGAAGTCAGTTTGGATTTTGGGCTATACGTGTATTATAGTTTTCGTTCGCGGTATGGAATTTCGAAGTCAGTTTGGATTTTGGGC